CAGAAGCCTCGCTGCCAACACCATAGCCATGGCAGCAGTGCGGAAGCATGCCACTCCCCTCAATGCATGCAGCCATTCTGGGTGAAGCATGGGTTGAGAGCGTGTGTTTTCATATGAGTAAAAAACAGTCTGAACGTCATAGCGCGCTCTTCTGTTCCATGACTTTACATATACTTTACCAACAGACCCCAGATGAATGGGTCAATGCAATTCCCATTATCCTCCCCTTGCCCCTTCAGTGGGATACCATTATAGCAGGAGGGGCTTCTACAATATAGACAGAGGGCACATGACAGTATGGCAGAAATGCTCATTGTGGATTTGTAGAGGGGTACATAGTGCAGGTGACGGTGATGTCACAGCTGGGGACCTGCCTGATGACATTCCCCTATTCTTTACCTACATCAGACCCCATTAATCCTCCAGCGTATCCTTGACATCTGTCCCCAATTTGCAGGAAGAGCTCCCGATACTGAAGATATATTTAAAGGACCCTGCAGTGTTTTTCCTCTTTAGCGTAAAACCATTCTCGCGTTCCGCCAAGAGAGGAGAGGAAAAAGCGGCGAGATATTTATGCAGCTTTGTGTTTGACTTGGAAGCTCTTCACACAAGACCGTTGGGTGGTCCAAGAAGTTAATCGCCTTGTGTCGTAACAGGAGAACAAGCCTTGATTGGGTTTACTTTGGAGGCCGCTGCGCAATTAAATAGAGAGTAACAATTTATACGCTCGCGGATACGCGGCTCACTGGAAAGAAGTCACGATCGGCACATAGCGCGAGTCAATGACACCGGAAACCAACTGATCTGATCAAGTGTACCTGTCACTATATTACTGCGGAAGCCACCAAGTTTCCATTACTTTCCCGTTGACACTGAACGCAAGTTTCTAGCTAAATGATTGGCTGCATTGGCGGCTGAATGGTTACAGAATTTGTATGTTAAACTACAAGGGCAGTTTAAAGATACAGAAGAAGGAGAAATAATTTACATTGTTCAGATTTATACTGAGCCTATACCCCATTAGTTACTTTAAGTTGGAATTACACTTTAACCAATAATGAGCCAAGTTTTAGGTACCTAATGGGTCATGCGGAGTGCCTTTGAAAATGATACGATATGTGGTAAGGAAGAGAGCGCCCTCTGCTGGCAAGATGTGAGGTCCTCCGAGCATTCCTCCAGTCGCCTCTTCTCTTCCGTCAGGGTCCAAGAGCACACGCAAAGCTTCACAGACAAACTCTTCTCCAGGAAGCAAGGCTGGTCTGAGGATTTTGGACTATGAAGGAAGGACAGACATTGTATTTAAATCTAAACTGGATATATTCTAGAACCACAAAGTCAAAAGACTACAAATCTGCGAAAACACAGCCCCCTGAAGTCGCCATTACCTTCTTGATTGGCGGTAACCTTCGGCTCTCTCGATGTACAGCCTCCAGGGTTTCGATGTGCATAGCTACAATACCTGGTGAAGACAGGATGATAATACGATTATGCATTCGGGAGTGCCATGAACCTTGGAGCAACAATTTGACTGAAAATATATCAATATTTCCATTTACAGCTGAACTCCCGCCTTCCCTTCTCTCTTGCACAGTGGTACAGACTCCTCTCCTGTGCTAAAACTGCTCACACTATGTTCAATAGAAGCTACAGCAAGTCAGATAGAGCCCGTCTCTTTCTGGCTGGCATTGCCTAGCTCTTTCCTCCCCAGCCTGACTGTCCCTGGCCCGCCCCTTTCAATCATTGGATTTCAGTTCTTTCATTCATGGAGGATCAGCATCACATGCGAGTATTACCAAGGGTGGTCTGCATGCAAAAACATTCGTAGGAATGTTCCAGACTGACATCTACCCATCAAGGCATTTGGCTATTTGCATATCTCCTCCCAAGAGGAGACGACAGCAAGACAACTCCACCATGCAGTCTTTACCCGTGTAACTAACAGAACAATGATTTATATGTTTTGGGGCGGAGCTTTGCAGTAAACATTTCCCTCACCTGTCCTACTAACAGCGGAGGCGTACCTGGTATCATACAGTGCAGGCTCTTGATGTGATCTTGGGTCACCCCGCTCTCTGTGCAGACTTTGTCAATAAACCTCGTGATAAATCGGACCACCGAGTTGGCAATATCGTTCTCCGAATCCTCAAACCCGCTCTCAGTGTCGTAGCTCTCCGCAACGCTGCCGGCAATGCTGAGAAACACAAACAGGTTTAAAGGCATTACGCTTTGTAGGAGGAAAATATAAAGACAGATGTCAGATGGAGGCATGTAATGGCAGCACCGTACTTCTTTCATGACCGGGCCACTTTAAATGCAGAATTGCCATAATTGACTGGACGGTTCCTGATATAAATTCCCTTTTCTTGGCTGATTAAGCAATCAGTGGACTTTATCTCATTGCTGAATTATGCAGCAAATGATATACTACAAATAGATCTCCGAAGGATTAATCTGCCATTTTGCAATACCTCGAATACCCCTGATAGCACTTAAAAGGCCAAAACATCTATCAGAAAGTTCCATCGTTAGTGATTTATTTTGACAACATGATTCAAAACATGCTTCGTAGTCGTCCAGATCACATTATAGCGCACGCAGCCCGGCGTCTCGGGGAAACGGGGACGATGCCACGGCCATGTACAATTTCATCTTATAGGGACAACGGCTGCGAGTCATTGTCGAAGAATGATACACAGCTACACAAACAATGACATCAACCCCCCACTTCAGCCATTGTTTATCGAGCTGCGATCAGACATTTAATCTAAGTGGCGACGTTAAGACAGGCCGAACATTCCACCAAGCACAAACAAAAAAATATTTTACATTTGGTGGGCTGGGCAAGGTTCAGGAGGGGGGCCTTAACCCATTGTGGCCCGAAAGAGACTAAATGGTCAGTCCAGTTGGTGGATGGTGAATGGATATACCAGCAACCAGCTGCCTACACCGTCTAGTGGTGGGATGGTTATACCGGATTTGCTGGCTACACCAATCTCCCCATTTAATTTGAATTCATTTCACATTACAGTAAATGCAGAAAGGGAAGTGAGACAACCATGGTTGCACCCAATATTGTCCTACAGGCTAACGTTTGGATAGATAGGACTCAATAGTACGGTCTCAATCCTTCCAACCACCTAAAGTGTGTCTATAGGGAGCCTCCAGTCCTGAGGATACTATCCACAAGGACTTTCAACTTCTGCTCCCTCTGGAAGCCTTGCTCATTTAGGCTTCATTCCCACAGATACATGCTGGCCTGTACAGATCCGTGCTGCGTGGATGGCCGTATCGTGCAGCTCTAGGGAAGGACAGGTGCTGCGTGTGATTATAAGCAGCAGCCTGTCCTTCTCTATGGGAGTATGCGGTCGTACGCCGCCCTACGCTCACCAGACCTGCACGTCGGTGCGGGTGTCCGTACTAATACGCTGACAGGATGGATCCTGTCTGCGTCCGAGCAGGGACACACGCACCCGTACGGACGTGCAGGTCGGGTGAGCGTAGGGCGGCGTACGGCCGCATACAATTGTCTATATATCTGGCTCTCATAATTGTGTTGATGGTTTTCTTCAAAGATTACCTCTGCTGGTACAATATTTCATCATATGCCAAGTATGAAATGTGAAGGCTTTCCGACAGGTCCTCTTTAAGTGTTCCTCTGACAGGTCCTCTTTAAGTGTTCCTCTGAAAGCCTACTTACTGACATACTGGTAATAATGATTAGTGTTTTGTACATCCCTCGACTTCTGTCCACTCACCTGTTGGTGACAATACTATTACTGCCACTCTCCCAGTCGCCACCGGCAGATGTCCGCAGCAGCTTGTTCTTGCTGGTGTCTAAGGGTACTAGGAGGTACACCATGAGGTTGGCGAAGTGGATGGCCTGGCTAAAGACGGTGCTTTCCTCGCTCTGTACAAGTTCCACTTGCTGCTGCTTGCTGAGTGACGGCCAAAGACGCAGCTGCTCTGCTGCAATGTCCATCACCGTGTTCTCCTCTGAACTCTCCACTCCGTTCTCCTGAAACGAGGACACCAATAAGTCAATGACATAGCATATCACAAAGGTGCTTCAACAATGTCCGAAAAGCACTGCAGCCATTCATCTCCTGAGGAACTGCACTATATATGTCTAAAGTTTGTGGACACCTGACCGTGTATCCTCTATGTGCTTGTTCCGTTCTTTCCATAGCAGTTGGCCACTCAGACCCTTTGCAGCTATAACAGTCTCCAGTCCTCTAGGAAGGCTTTCCACAAAGTGATGGTGTGCGTCTGGGGGTATTTTTGTCCATTTAGCCCAAAGAGCATTTGTGAGGTCAGGTGCTGATGTTGGGTGAGGAGACCTGGAACACAATCAGCATTCCACTTCATCCCAAAAGTGTTCAGTAGGGTTGAGGTCAGGTCTCTGTGCAGGCCACTTGGGTGCCTCCAAACCAAACTCATCAAACCATGTCTTTATGGAGCTGGATTTGTACACAGGAGACAGTCATGGTAGAACAGAAAATGGCCTTCACCAAATTGTTACCACAAGGTTGGAAGCCCACAGTTATCTAAAATATGTTTGTGTGCTGTAAAAAAATTGGAGGGAAGTCCACATACTTTTGGCCTTGTAGCGTAGGTGTGATGGTAAGGTGCCAACATCCATTTGGCCATATAACATTTACGCGCCGCAAACATGCAGCTTATGCTCATTGCATCTCTATCCGACCTGTCTGCTCTATAGCATGTTTTAAAGACTACAGGTACACTTCAAAGCCCGACTGAAGTCACAGAATGAGACATGCCATCAGATGGGCTTTGTACTTACAACCTCCATTCTTTCCTTCACTGTCCTCTTACTACAGCTGCACAGGTGTAAATATAACTGTGCCGTTCAGTAGGAACCAGCGCTACACCCAATGTTCTCAGCAATGGAGCAAACCTGGAGCCACGCCCCTCCCCTTCTCTACAATACAACTCTGCGTGATTGTGATGAGGGGTGTGGCTGTGTATCAGCTATGCACACATAGAGCACTGCAGTGCGAGGGCAGAAAGCAGCATTTTCCATAACAGATAAAAGGTCATGTAAGACATTTTGCATGCGAGATGTACGAAAGGTGTGAGACTTCAACCAAGCTTTAAAGAAGTTTGGATACACACCTTAGCATTAGAAGCCGGTTCCTGGTTGGCTTCTTTAGAGGCCAGGTAAAGGGCCCGTACTTGGTTCTGAACATCGTTATAGAACGTCGTCTCCCAGAACTGCTGATTGGCCCATATGGTGTGATCCTGGACACATGTGTAGGCGAACTGGCTGACCCCAGGAGACAGTTTCTGCGAAAAGTAACAGAACGTTAACTTACACACAAATCTCTGCCTGTCATCGATATACCAGCAACACATGACATTCTCAGGATGACTCAACTGAATCATTCTGTGGAAAAGGTGATAAGCATTTTTTTTTATGTGTCAGGAATAATTAAAAAATTGTAAAAAAAAAAGACACTAAACACAACATTTGGATAAAACATCTTGTACGTGACTCAGTCAACAACAACAAGAACGAGCCAACGTCATCTAGAAATGTTTCCCCAAGTTCTGACTTTTCTCTTCCAAGAAAGAGAGATAAGAGAGGATGAGTAAGAGACGTCAGCCATGGACCGGCCTCTTCTCTCCTCCACTGTCTCCGAGTTCATTACATTCTTCTGCTGAGAACGTGACAGAGCTCTATGGTGTATGGAAGAAGCTGACGCCGCTTGTGTCGAGTTACCCAACACCTAACTGGAATTGCAGGCACCTGACCCAATACCAGGGTTACAACATTTAAAGTAAAACAACTATTGCGCCATGTTAACCACAACGCGATGTAACCTTTTTCACCACTTTAGTACCTCCATACATAAACATTGATCGGCCATAACATTATAACCACCCGTCCCATATGGAGTAGGTCCTCCTTTTCCTGACCCGTCCTGGCATGGACTCCACTAGACCTCAGACGGTCTGCTGTGGTATCTGGCAACAAGCCGTCACTAGCAGATCCTGCAAGTCCTGTAAGTCCTGTAAGTTGTGAGGTGATCGGCCTCCATGGATCGGGCTTGTTTTTCCAGCACATCCCACAGATGTTCGAGTTCTGGAGAATTTGGAGGCCAAGTCATGACCTCTGCAGACCGGGAACATCCCAGAATATATATGCTTTAGCACCTAATTACAATACCATCTGCACTCACAGTTTTCTCTTAGTCCCACTGCAAAGTAACACAAACGCCTGTTGATGCTGCCAGTGAACCCCACCTGATGCAGCTTCCTGTGATGGGGTAGCCACCATGCTTCACTGCTCCTGAATTCAGAGCAGAGTTGTCACCCTCATTTAGGCTGTGCCTGCTTCTGCTAATGGTATGAGATGTTGCAGGGGGCGTGGCTATCACTGCTGATTGATAAGTCTGTTGTCAATCAGCAGCCGGCAACACCTAGTTCCGCCCACTGCTTTCTGGATTGACCGCAATGCCTCTGTTACTGAAACCCCCACACTGTAAGCTGCAGCGTCTGGGTAGGGGAGCGTGTGAGACACAAATGAAGGAGATTTTGACTCAGTCAGGAAGCTAAAGGGAGTTTTTCTGCGGCTTGAGCATCGGATATTACCTCGATTGGGTTCTTCTTAAGACTGTCATGGGGGAGCATTCAGGTAGTTTAAACACAGCAGTTTTTGGTTGTCTGTGTCCCCCGGCAAACCTAGTTCTATTACCTGTTAATCCTTCCAGAAGAACCCAAATCATTTCCAGCAAAAGGGTGACAGCAGTGAAAATCACACAGAACCGTTGTCACTCTGTGCAGGGGGCAGTCCAAGATGTACTTTTAAACTAACTTTAAATATAATACAAACTCATTACTAGCCAACACTAATGTTAGCAGTGAAAACAACATTCTTGAAGCCTTATGAATAAGCTGACCCGTGCCTACTGATAATATTAATAACGGAGACGTTGTTTGCACTGTTTCCACTGACTGGATATAAAGTTTTACCAGTAGAGGGCAGATCAATCTTACAAAACATCAATCATTCATCTGCAAAAGCCAATCAATAAATTCCTCTTTCCCAAAACTATTTACAGCAGAGGATAAAAATATCCCATTTATAGGAAACAATGAAGATGATCAGCCGGCTTCTTGTGGGAGCTGCAAACAGTTTCCTTGAACATAACAAAAGCGTACTATGCACAAAAACAACCCGTTACAAGAAAATCCCGATACCTCTCAGTAATTTAGGGTATACAACGGCTTCCACCTTCTAATAACGGGCCGCTATAAGGCGTTATATTGCACAATGGGCAACTTATGGTTTCATTTAAAGAGTTTTAAGTGTTTAAGATACAAGTCATTCATAGGTGGCGGAGTGCTAGTCCTAAGGGTCCATTCACACCACATCATCACCAGATCTGGACCAGAAAATGTTGTGAACCTGCCCGCAGTTCCAGTGCATTCCAGGCCAGACAAAACGAGACCTGCAGTATTTTTCTGGTCTGGAACGGACTGCGCTGGTGTGAACAGAGGCCAGAAATAGCATAGGGATACATTAGGATGCATTTTGGGTCCAGAAACAATATGGTCTGGTCTGGAGGTGATCTGGATGTGGTGTGAATGGGTCCTAATACATGACCCCCCCAGGGGTGTCCCAAGGTCGGTTTATCACCCGGTTCCAGACCGGGCGACACCCGGTCTAGAGACACCCCGCAGTGTCGTCATCACGCGTGACCATCTGATGCCTGCCGGCTGTCATCTTGGTGATGGACGCCGGCAGAGAGAGTAGGGGACGTTCACCCGGCGGGATGAGGAATGCCGCCGGATCCCCTCCTCTTTCGTGCAACTGTCGGGCTCTTGGTCCATAACCGAGTGCCCGACTTTTTAGAGGGGGTGACACCAAAATGACTATCAGTCATTTTGGTGTCACCCCTGCAATGGCCGCACCCCCCTTGTGAGGCCACTGACCCCTCCCCACCCACCCCCTTTCCTGGTATCGCCCTCTTTTTCTGTTATTGTTTTGCATTCAGTTCTGAGCATTTCTTGGCTATTAGTTGACGTTTAATCTGCTCAGGTTTTGCCTTCCCTGCTTCCACCCCTCCCACTCTTCCCTACTCAATCCAAGTTATTTTTGGCTTTAGATACACTTCAGTTACCTGAAACTACAATTGATCGGTAGGGATATTATAATAACGATGTTGTATTGTGGCATTCAAATTAAGAGCGCGCTGGTTCCACTTTATTGTATCAATAAGAATTTCTGTTATTTGACAATCGGCTAATCGTTCCCTTTGCACCCGATACATAAAGATGTGAAGAATGTGGCCCCCGTTACAGTACACAGAGCTGGTTACACAGGCGCTGTACATCACACTGGGCTGTGTGAACTCCGTGTCCCGGTTAGACATTGCAGCGCTCGCTAAACACAAATATAAAGATTAAGGTCAGGTCAAGGTAAGTTGTTGGATAACATAACTGTGCCAAACGGTCATTTCTCCAGACCGCCACGCCGATTAATATTCAATGTGGCCGCCAGTAAGCTGCTGCTCGTCGCTGCAGAACATCTCCTAGCACCAGACTACGGCTTATATTAAATAGGATCTCTACCTTAAAGGGGTTCTAAACCCTCCGTTTTTTTTGCCTATATCTACGGCTATCAAGCAGTAGATATAGGCAAACAGTTTAAAAAAAGAAAACGCTTTAACAGCGGTTTAAACTTACTTTGTTTAGTGACACTAAACTCCGGAGTTATATCTTAAAAATACATTCAAGTCCCTTAACTATTAACAACAATGTATGTTATTTGTGTATCACTCGGCTGTAGATCCTCCAATCATCTCTGAATTGGTGCCGACACTGTCCTTCCTTCTGGAGGGGGGCTACGTCTGTTCCCCATGTCACTGTGTGTTGTAAAGTAGTCACCGCTCCAAGCTCCCTCCCAGGATGGACTACAATCGCAATACAAATTAGAAAACTAAACGTGAGATTGTAGTCCATCCCGGGAGTGAGCTTGGACCGGTGACTACTTTACAACACACACAGGGACCATGGGGAACATTAGTAGCGAGGGTTAAGAATGACTTTCCCTGAAATTCTGCTTGTAACAGAGCAGCTAAGAACAGACAGGTAAACGTGTGACAAGGAACCTACAGCGCCACCTGCTGGTCAGAAAAAAAAAATATTCATATGTATTATTTCATATTTACTGGACTAGAAATATATTATTCAACTGTATTTTTTTTTATCCTGACCACAAGAAAATATATACAAAATCCCCATATATTGTCAATACAATAAATACAATGGGGGGAATTTATCAAAACTGGAGCAGATTTGCACTGCAACCAATCAGCTTCTCTCTCTCATTTTCAAAACTCAGCAAACTGCAGAGAGAAGCTGATTGGTTGCCATGGACGGCTGCTCCAGTTTCTGTCTGCTCCAGCTTTGATAAATTCCGACCCCCAATGTTCTCTCATCTTCTTGTGTTATTCTACAACATGCAGAATTTCCTCACTGCAACCACCCAAATACCGGCCTCGTCCGCCAATGATTCTCCCGCAGGCAGCGACCACAAACAAAGACACAGGAGAGGTTTTTTCCTTTTCCATAATTATGCAGAAAACTTTTTAATTAACTTTGCATTTGGCAGAGCGCGTCCAGCTGCCAAAACAGAAGGATTAGAACGCGGGATAAACATATTCCGCATTGCACTTGGATAATCTCCGCCTAAGACAAAACCGCTATTTCCAGGCTGTGGGATAAAGGCGCGCAAGCTCCGCCTACAATTCACAGCCAGGTGCTGAGAGAGCGCTGGAGCTAGGTCAGCACAAGATGATGTCAGGTGCCGCGGTAACATACGTGCGTGTGTTCGGAAATTTTACCATTAAAGGAGAACTATAGGGTAAAGTCTTTTCCCCATAGTTCTCCTTAGGGTAACGGGAGGACACAAACTAGCGTCCTCCCGTCACCCTAGGCTCAGTATACCCCGAGCTGTAGCTCTCTATATACTGAGACGCCGCAGTATACCACAAGCTCTGAGACGCAGCAGCTGAAGCGGATCCCGACAATTGTGCCGGGATCCGCCCAGCTGCGTGACTGACAGCTGGCTCTGCCTATCTAAAGGCAGAGCTAGCTGTACCCGCCCCCTCCCCCGTCCGTTCCGCCAGTCAGCGCTGGAGGATCGGAGCGGGGAGGGGGGAATCCAGCCCCTCCCCTGTCACGGCAGAGAGCTGTGACAGGATCGAGAGGTGAGCGAACGCCGGTATGTGTTCGCTCACCTCCCGATCTACTGAGCCGACCTGTGACAGGCGCATTGT